GTGCACGTATGAAGAAATAAGTAATTGATTCTTTAGCCTATTTGAGATTTATAACATTATGATTTTGAGAAATGGGTCAAGCTTAGTTTGTGGGTTGTTACTTGTTAGGGTTGGATTGAACTTTTCGACATGTACAAAGTATTTTTTGCATGCTTAGCTTGGTTTGTGGGTTGTTAGGGTACGGTTGGATTGCTATGAATGTTTTTTTACTTCCTAAAGGGCTTTGCGGGGAGATTGAGCAGCTGATGAACTCTTTTTGGTGGGGGTGTAAGCAACGAGGGGGAAAGGGAATTAGATGGAGTACTTGGGGGGATCTTTGTAAACCGAAGAAGTTTGGTGGTATGGGGTTTAGGGCAGTGAAAGATATGAATATGACAATGTTGGGAAAGCAAGGGTGGAAATTTCTGACCATTCCGAATGCTCTGCAAAGGCGGGCTATACAAAGTTTTGTATTATTTTCTCAAATTTTGTATAGCCAGCCTCAACTAAAGCTAAAGTTACAAAATTTCAAATTATACATGGAAATGAGTTGAGTGTAAACTTGGACTATACAAAACTTTAAAGTGTACGTATCTTAAAATTTTCCAGGGGTGCATAGTATAACAAAAAATATGTTCTCATGGAGCCAATATATAGTGTCAGTTTTTAATTGCTATTAATCCTTCTTTAATTTGATTTTAGTGAGCTAATTCTTAGTAAATTCAAATTTAATATTCACATACTTAATGTGTAATAATTAACTACCATGTAATCTGATATGGCATCCCGATTATCCATCCAAATGGATGGTCATAGATTTGAACTCCGGTGGTGGGAGCTTAGATTCTTTAGGCTGAAAATGTTTAAGAAAGTATTGAACAGATACTACCTTGTAAAGAATCATTAGTATTTCAAAAAAAAAAAAAAAGATATGCAGTAGAATATATATATTTTTTAATTTCGGACTATTGTACCATTTTTATATGTGATCCCCAATATCTATTTTTCAATTTTTTTTTATGAAAGATTTGAAAAATCTTGTCACATTTTCCCTTGTACAATCACTAATGATCAGAATTGTTACATGCTAATATGCTATGTAGAAAAAATTGGTTCATTTCCGCCAAATGCACTTTTGAAGTCCAGTAAAATTATGGAAAATCTACAAATAGGTCATTGAACTGGAGAATATCAATTAAGTTACCGGACTCGAATAAGTTCCAAATTCATCATGAACTCGGAAAAAAGAGCTATTAGCATGTTTAGCAGGTTAACTACAATTTTGCTGATTGGGATGCCACGTGTATTTATATTTTAATAAATAGATGTCTGGATTTACATGAAAATAGAGGAGTGAAGAAATTAGGGCTTTAAATTTTGACTTTAAAAGGTCAAACGCTTACAAGTAGTCCAAGTAGGATAATAGGAAAAAATATATATAAATATTAATAGCATCCTAATCAGCGCAAACCGGTTGTTAACCTGCTAAAAATATTAATTAATTTTTTTCTGAATTTATGGATGAATTTGGAGTTTATTCGAATTTGATGGCTTAATTATTATCACCTAAATAGTTCAATGACCTATTTGTACATTTCCTGTAAAATAATTTATACCGTTCATGGGTTGATATTAGTGTTCTGGCACTAATATAATGTTAAGCAGAATTAATATTATTGCAATTAATTAATTAATTAATATACATTATTAATACATGTTTAATCCCCAGGCCATCCAACGCATGCATTAAAATGACTCTACTCCTTCTGCAATCCCCAACGCATGCATTAAAATGGCTATACCTCAATTTTATAATTTTAAAACAGTAGCATTTACCTCACTTAATTAGTTTTCTCTAAACCTATTATGCCACTATAAATATATGCCCACATATCACTCTACTAACAGGGCGTTTGATCGGAGGGGATTACGTGAGAAAAGAATTGCAATTTCATAAGAGATGAATTACTAAAAATAAAGTGGGAATTTAAATTTCACTGTTTGGTTTACAGAAATAGAATTTCTGGAAATTTCAATTTCAATGTTTGGTATACATAAGAATTGAAAGGGAATAAATAGTATAAAATCCAAAATGCCTATTGTTGTTGTGGTATTAATTTTACATTTTTTTAAAAAAAGAGATAATTTTGTCTCATTTCTAACTTTTTTTCTCCTTAAAATCTCAGGAATTAAAATTCCAAGGGGACATGGGATTTTAATTCCATGAAAATGGAAAAAATTGTAATTCCATGGAATTACAATTCTTCCAACCAAACTAAAAAATTTTATGGCCTTTGAAATTATGTGAGAATTAACTGGGAAGGGAATTTAAATTCTCTCCAACCAAACGCCCTGTAAATTCATTTATGTTACAAACACTCTGAAAGGCACCGAACTTTAAAATTATTCAATTTGATTTTTTATTGTTAAAAATCTAATGATTAAGTAAAATTGCATAACCTCGTTAGTTTTCATCGTCAAATCATTCTAAATGGTAGAATGCTGTGATATCCAATCATTATGGTAAAAAAAAAAATAGTTAATTTCATTTTTTATCCTAGATTTATAATTCACATTTCACTTTTAGTTTTTTTTTTTTTTTTTCAAACCATTCTTCTTTAGTCCCAGTATTATTATGACATGACCATTATTGGTCTTCCATCAACAAAACCCGTTTAAATTTCAAAAAAATACAAGGTCATTTAGGTCTTCAATTATGAATTTTTTTTAAAAATAAAAATAAAATATAGCGGGTTAACCCACTTTCTATAAAAATGATCGAAATGATCTTGCATTTAACGATATTTCAACGATTTTGTTGGCGGAGAACTAAAAATGATCATGCCACAATAATACTAGAACCAAATATGGATGTTTTAAAAAAGAACTAAAAGTGGATTGCCATTTATAATTCTAGGACCAAAAATGGAATTAACTCTAAAAAAATATCATTATTCCTCTCTTTCTCTTGCATCTCCTCCCAACTAAAATATCCTAAGGGTATTTTGGTTGGGAGAAAGAAATTAAGAAGGAAATGAATTTGTAATTCGGTGAGAAAAGAATAATGTGAGAATAAAGTAAGAATTTAAAGAATTTTGAGAATGAGAAAGGTAGAACCGAAGAAGTAATATAAATACTAAAATGTCTTTATATAATAATAATAATTGAAGCATGTGCTCCATCTCAACTAAAAGCTTAAGCTGATAGTTGGATTGCACATTAATGGCTATATGCTCACAATAATAATAATAATAATAATAATAATAATAATAATAATAATAATAATAATAATAATAATAATGGACATATTTGTAAATTTATTCATTTTTCCTTTGCAACCGGCCGTTGAATTGGAAATCTTTGAGGTATAATTATAATTCAATAGTTTGAAGGAATTGTAATTCTTTCTAATCAAACAATGTAATTGGTATAGATGATGAATTTCATTGCAAAGGAATTGAAATCCATGTCAACCAAACACCCCAAACTTTTATGTATTATCATCTTCCTTCTTTCTGTCTCTTTTTTATTTTTTTTTTCTTTTTTTTTTCTTTCAATTTACCTTCATTTTTTCTTGATTTAAAAAAAAAAAAAAAAAAAAAAAAAAAAAAAAAAAAAAAAGTCTAATGGCTGTAGACGAAGTGGAGATTGTGACATCAAAGGATTATTTTCAATTGAGCCCCAACTTCCCCAATATCATTCAATTAACCCCTCTGCATAAAGGATGAAAATAATACAAGATTGGCACTAAAATCAACCCAATTAATAATAACAAATATAGAATATAAGAATAATGGTGTACAAAATGACTTAAATAAGTACATAATCTTGGCTTGAAAGAAGAAACTAAGACTTTCAATCTGATCTGACATTTTTTTTAAAAATAAAATGTTAAGTAGCTTACAAACTTGCAACAAATAGCTAGACCAATCTTAGTAATCTCTTTGATCTTTTTCGACCCATTAGGCTTTATAAAATCCTAACTAGGATCGATTTTTAAATTTTTGTGATTCTGTTCTTATAGATAAATGAGGTCATATCAAGAGTATAAGAGCAATCTTTAAAATCAAATCATAAGAATCCTACTAACATTTTTTTTTTTAAAGCTAAAGGGAATTCATTAATTGAAATCCGAGTACAAAGCATTAGAAATAAACAAGGGGGATTGTGATTCCACTCTTCACAAGTCGACTTTGAACAAGACTCCTTAGCAATGAGATGGACCGTCATGTTCGCAACTCGTGAATCCTACTAACCTACTATCTTCAAAGTCTAAACAAACTGAAAATTTTAAAAAATAAAACGTCTTGAAACTACTTGGCTAGTGGCTACCTGTTGTGTTGCCGCTATCGTTTGGAATGCAAGTAGAATGTTCTGTTAGGGGGAAGAATCAATTCCTCAGGCAGTATTGATGGTAAACTGGTGAATGATACTTGTTTCAAGTTATCTCTACAAATTCAGGGCTTGAGACATCATATGATCTGTTGGGAAACATAACGGTTTTGCCATGCGGCATGCTCAATTAATTAGGTCCTAATTATTAGGAGAGAGAAGTGATTTGGTAATAAAAAATAAAAAAATTGATGAGGTTTAAGATTAATTACAATTTTACACATCCTAAAATATTGTGCTCCCTAAATTGAGATCATGTGCTCTTGGACATTTTGCACATCCTAAAATCCGGCCTGACCATAACCAATGATAAACAAGTCTAAAACGTCTTGAGACTTAAAATAACAATTACAAGGATAGTAAGAGAGATATCTGCAAGATGATCTAATTATCTGAAGTATATGCTGAAGTCCACTGAAAAACAGCAGGGCTATTTACAAGGAGTTCTGATACACACTCTTATTTTACTGTAATTAATACATGAAGCCTGTGGTTCAAATATATACTCTCAAGAAATTGAATTTCAATTATAGGCACAATAATCATAAGTTTGATAGGAAAACGAAATACAATACTCTGTAACAAATCCCTCATAGTTAGAAGCAATGGCAAAATCCGGTTACTTCAACTGCTCTTCCTAGTTGCAACGAGCTTCAAAATCCCACGAGGTGCAAGCGAGGGACCAGCCCAGGTCACTGCTTTTCTTTGTGATTCCTGCATCATAAGATCACACCAAAAAGAAACAAATTTATGGCCTAAAATATCACATGGTTTTGGCAAAAAGAACAGCTCCATTACTATACAGAATAAGCAACACAAAAATCTAAATGTATAGTTTTACTATCAGTTTAAACTTTTAATTGTATTTACTGGTTTTGGATAAGTTGGAGATCTTACCTCTACTGTAGAGGCATCAGTTTCCTCACCATTCACCCTTTCATCCTCATCGCCTCGAATCTCCTTCAATGACTCCAATACCTGTTCCATTGTAGGCCTCATATCCTTGTCAGGTTGCAAGCACCGAAAAGCTAGCTCTGCTACTGAAGTAGTCATTCTCTTGATTTCAGTATCCATCTCATACCCCAGAGAGGAATCAATGAGTTCGTCAAATGCTCCTATTAGAATCTTGTTTGTTGCTAGTTTTGCCAAACTGATCTCGTGTGCATGCCTGCGTACATCCACAGCAGGCATTGAGGATATGAGTTCAGTAAGAACGACCCCGAAGCTATAAACATCACTCTTATAAGTGAGCTGATAACACTCGTGATAGTCTGGATCAACATATCCAGGTGTTCCTTTAGGTGTAGTGGTGGCATGAGTGACATTAGCAGGGAAGAGTTTCGAGAGCCCAAAATCTGCAACTTTGACGCTGAAATTCTCATCAAGAAGTATGTTACTGCTCTTCACATCGCGGTGGATTACTTCTGAGGCATGGAGATAAACCAATGCTGCTGCAGTTTCCACAGCAATCTTCATGCGGATAGGCCATGTGAGCAGTCCATCTACTGCTCTTCGGCCATGGAGATGATCTTCAAGTGTTCCATTTGCAATGTATTCATACACAAGGAGGAGTTCGCGGTTATGCCTTGATGTGCACCCGTAAAGTGTAACGAGATTAGGGTGCTTTAGCCGGGTGAGAATTGAGATTTCATTCACAAACTGCTCCATTCTCTTGCAGTTTCGCTCATGAAGGCGCTTCACAGCAACTTCTCTTCCATCCCCAAGCATCCCTAATTTGCATTCCAGGAATTAGCCTAGAGAATAGTGAATCTAATGGCAGATGAAATTGAATATTTGTTATTGTGTTACCATAGTAAACAGTGCCAAAACCTCCATCCCCAAGTTCTTTAGAAGGATCAAAATTGTTTGTTGCTTCTTCAAGTTCAGAGTAGGAGAAGACTAGAATTCCAAACAGCCTACTGCGACCTCTCTCAAGGTCCGTGGGGAGACCCACAGATGTATTTCTTGAATAGCCTTTGCTTCCTTTCTTGCGTCGCCAAACAACAAAGATAGCTAAACTTACAAGGATCAGTCCTACACCTCCTGAAAGTACTGAAGATTTGAAAAAGAACGTATCAGGGTCTCACTCCCGCAGAAATGTAGAGAAAGTAGGAGAATGAAGGGGGTTGATGGTGGTTATTACATTAGTTAGACATGAGGGATATACAAAGTTCAATAACTTACCAGTGATTAGAATCAATCTCTGCTTGCTCTTTCCTGTAGCCACGGTTTGTAAATAAGTGACAAAACATCAGGTTCACGCCATTTTTAATTTATTAAAGAATTGTTATTATACACAAGAGAGTAAGATGCAACATTAAGGGTGTGTTTGGTTCATGAGTTTACACACTAGGAATGAAAATCAAAATTAGTGTTTGGTTGACAACTTTTTAAAACACAACTATGAGATTTAATTATCCCTTCAATTAAAACCTCATTCCATTAAAAAATGGTATCATTCCATCTTATTGGTGCTTTGGATCTCATTGTATTTTTTATTTTGAAAAGGAATCTCATTGTATTTGAATCAATTGTCTTAATTTTTTTGTTTTGTATTTTTAAACATTTATTCCCATTATAAGATCATACATAACCAAACATCAATATTAATAATCATTTAAATTCTACCCTATTACCAAACATGCAAAATGCTTTCACCAAAACTCATTCTCGTTACCAAGTATTTGATTTTCATTTCCAATTCAATTCCGATTCTGATTCTAATGTGCGAACCAAACAGACCTTAATATCTTACGACTCTGCTTGTACTAGAAGATTTGAAATGTTTTGAATATAAATATAGAGATAAACGCAAGATGAGTTGTGAGGACAAGATCAGAGTGTTTACCTTTTTTACAATGAAATATATTTTTGCTGTCTGTTGTACATTGGCCTCCTTTTTTGTAATAACAGTCATAGCACGCAGGTGAGACTTGTAAGTAGAGTCCGAATTGAGCATTTGTTTGTTCGACGACAAGAATTGGAGTTGGATACAGGGTACAGTTAGCCGCAGTATCACATTTGGGATTATTCTCTGGAACCAACTCACTTTTATACTTCAAACTAAATCCATCCGTACAGCTGTACCTTTCATAATTGCCCATATCATCATCAGCTTGAATGAAATTGCATTTCAAAAAGGGGGAGTTCAATTCCTCTGCTTCCAAATTGCGGAAGGTGATAGAAGGAGAATACGGGAATTGGACGCTGTAGTTTAAATTTGAGTAATTAGGGCACTTAAGTAGTCTCTGAAGCTTTACGTCTCCCAGGAAGATCACATATTCACCCCAGACAGGATATGGTTTCACACGCAGAAGCTGATACGAATCTCCCCCCGTTCCCAACTGGAGTGTTGGAGGTGTTGCAGAACAATTTACTACGACTAACCCACAATGAGGCTGCGTGTGTTGAACAAAAGGGAACTCCAGATAACCCACACTTCCACAGGGGAATTCCTTCGTACAATTAGATGCCAAAAACTCATCTTCTCCATGAGCAAAGTATAAAAAGAGCATTAAGGAAAAGAGAAGGAAGAAACAAGGATTAAAGGGCACACCCATACCAGCTTTCTTCTTCTTCTCCTTCTCTCAAACAATGGAAGAAGGAAGAGAATTATAGAAGATCAGAGGAGAACAGCCAGCAGAAAGACTTAAAAGGTCGACCTTGACTTGAGGTCAACTGTGTTGCATGAATATTTCCACGCGATGTAACCCAAGAGATGGAAGAGTAGCTTGACTTGAACTTCTGGCCATGACTTTAGAAGCTAGCCACAAACAGCAAACAAGGAAATTGCTACTCAATTTCCAAGTTTGACTAGTGGTTAGCAGCAGACTGAAAATATATATATGTAAAGTGCATGCATATATAATGCGTGAGAGTATGAAAAACGGGTTCCATACCCCTTCTTGAGTGGCTGTGATCAACCAATCCTAAATTAGTACTCATAAATCTTCTTATTGGTAAAGTCAACAGAAAAATATGGTGGGAAATCAAAGAATTATTTCTCTTTCGTGGGGCCATGCAAGTAGAAAACTAACCCAAAAACTGTTTTGCATTACTGTAGCAGGTGACAGGGTCCAATTTCTTTAGCTCCTCACCCTACCAAGTACCAAAACCAACTATCAGACTTTAACAGGAAAGGATGAAGAAATGTTATTGTAAAAGAAGAATATGGCCAAATATCGACCTATATCACTGCAACAAACAACATTTTTATAATACATAAGACTGCTCTTACATTAGAGCAAAGATCAGTAAGAATGCAAACTCTTTGCATTTACTTATGTTTCTATGAGAATAAGACATCTGTTCTTGATATTTTCCAGACTATGTTATGCAAGGAATTACACATGTTGGCACTTCTTAACAAACTAGACAAAATTTAATAAAGCAAATGATTGAATCACAAAATAACTTCATCAATTTATAAGGGAACTACAAGACATAAAGCAAGTTGATCTCATGTCTATGCCTATTCATATCCATAGCCGGCATTTACTGTCTTGCTCAAGGTCTTGTTTTAATGAGAGATCAAAGAATTTTGAAGAACCCCAACCACCCTTCTTGTGACACCAAGAACAAAAAACCCACCATCGGAGTCAAAGTGAGGATCAATATAATTCCTCCAAAAACTGTAATGAAACAAGAACAGAATCAAAAGTCTGGTCTGCTGAAAATCAAGTAAAATATAGTGATTAGAATATATACTCCCCTGGAAATAGAAGTGGTATTTTTCATTTATAGGTTAGGGAACACTAGGGTACAATAATCATAAGTTGGATATTAAAATGAAATAAAATACTCTAACAAATCCTACATAATAAGAACACAATCACCAACTCCAGTGAGTGGCAGTGACTTCAACAGCTGCTCTTCGTAGCTGCAGCATGCTTCAAAGTCCCATGATCTGCAAGTGAGGGACCAGCCCATGTCCAGCGCATTGCTTTTTGTCGCACATCCTATGTCATAAGAATACACCAAAAACAAACAAATTAATGACCTAAAATATCACATGATTTCACAAGCTTTTGATAAAAATCACAGCTCCATTTACTTATTTTGGATTCATTGGAGGTATCTTACCTCTTCTTTAGATACATTAGTTTCCTCACCATTCACCCTTTCGTCCCCATTGTTCAACTCATTGCCTTGAATCTCCTTCAGCGACTCCAATACACGTTCCATTGTAGGCCTCATATCCTTGTCAAGTTGCAAGCATTCAAAAGCTAGCTCTGCCACTGATGTGGTCATTCTCTTTATTTCATTATCCATCTCATATCCCAGAGAGGAATCAATGAGTTCATCAAATGCTCCAGTTAGAATCTTGTTTGTTGCTAGTTTTGCCAAATTGATCTCATGTGTGTGCCTACGTATATCCACAGCAGGCATTGATGATATGAGTTCAATAAGAACAACCCCAAAGCTATAAACATCACTCTTATAAGTGAGCTGATAACACTCATGATAATCTGGATCAACGTATCCAGGTGTTCCTTGAGGTGTAGTGGTGGCATGAGTGGCATTAGCAGGGAAGGGTCTTGAGAGCCCAAAATCTGCAACTTTGACGCAGAAATTGTTATCAAGAAGTATGTTACTAGTCTTCACATCACAATGTATTATGCCTGAGGCATGGAGATAAACCAACGCTGCAGCAGTTTCCACTGCAATCTTCATGCGGGTGGGCCATGTGAGCAGTCCATCTGCTGCTCTTTTTCCATGGAGATGATTTTCAACTGTTCCATTAGGAATGTATTCATACACAAGGAGGAGTTGGTTATGCCTTGTTGAACACCCATATAGTGTAACAAGATTTCGGTGCTTTAACCGGGTGAGAATTGAGATTTCATTTGCAAACTGCTCCATTCTCTTGCAGTTGAATTCATGAAGGCGCTTCACAGCAACTTCTCTTCCATCCCCAAGTATCCCTAATTTGCATTCCAAATATTAAACCTAGATAGCAGTGAAACTACTGGCAATAGAATTTGACCATCTCTTATTGTCTTACCATAGTAAACAGTGCCAAAACCTCCATCCCCAAGTTCTTTAGAAGGATCAAAATTGTTTGTGGCTTCTTCAAGTTCGGAATAGGAGAAGACTAGAATTCCGAAGAGCCTACTACGGTCCCACTCAAGGTCTGAGGCAGGATCCGATGATGTATTCCTCAAATAGCCTTTCCTTCCTTTCTTGCGTTGCCAAACAAGAAAGATAGCCAGCAAGCTTACAAGGATCAGTGCTAAACCACCTGAAAGTACTGAAGAATGAAAAAGTAATATGTATCCTGGTCTCAGTTCCTCAGAAATGTAGAGAATGTAGGACAATGCAGGTGGTTGATACATGAAGGATATAAAAAGTTCAACAACTTAATTACCTGTGATTAGAATGAGTTTCAGCTTGCTCTTCCCTGAGGAGATGGTAAATAAGACACAAAACATTAACATTATTCACTGACTAACTGCAAACTAGGCTCTGGAGTTGACAACTCTTGTGCTAGAAGATTTGAAATGATTTTGAACATAAATAGTTAAAGATGGAGAAGAGTTATGAGGACTAGAGTGTGTACCTTTTTTACATTGAAATTCATTGTTGCTATCTGCCCTACATTGCCCTCCTCCATAGTGACAGTAATAGCACGCTTCTGTGACTTGTAATTCCACTCCAAATCCAGCAGTTAAAATATCATTTGTTTGATGAATAAAAATTGGAATTGGCAACGGGATACAGCTATCAGGAATACATGCGGGATCCTCTGTAATCAATGGACGTTTATAGTACAAACTGTATCCTTCAGTACAGTTGTTATACCTTTCATAATTGCAGAGATCATCATAAGCTTGACTGTGATCATTGCATTTTAAAAAGGTGCTGGATTCGTATGGCTCAAAATTGCGGAGTGTTATAGAAGGAGAACTCTGAAATTGGATGCTGTAGTTTAAGATTTTGCAATTACGTCTGTCAAAGAGTCCCTGGAGCTTTGAGTCTTCAACAGTGATTGTAAAGACACCCCAGCCTTTCTTCACTTTCTGAAGGTGATACCAATCTTCCCCCTTTTCCAACTGGATTTTTGGAGGTGTTGTATCACAATTTACTGCCACTAAACCACAATCAGCCTGCGTGTGTTTAGCAAAAGGGGACTCCAGATAACCTATATTTCCACAGGAGAATTCCTTCGAACAGTTAGATGGCGACTCACCTTCTCCATGAGCTAAGTAAAAGGCGGCCATTAAGGGAAACAGAAAGAATAAACAAGGAACAGAGGGCAGAGCCATAGCAGCTTTCTCCTTCTCTCAAACAATGGAATTGAAGAAGAGAATTAAAGAAGAAATAAAATATTCAGTCCTACACAGAAGAATTATAGAAGAGTAAAACTCAGAAAGACTTAAAAGGTTGACCATGACTTGAGTCAACTGTGTTGTATTCATATTTCCACGCGATATAACCACAGAGCTAAAAGAGCACAGTCAAAATATATATGTACTGTGCATAATGCGGGAGTACGAAAAACGTGTTGTATGGCTCTTCCATTTTGTGATATGATCAACCAGGCAAATCCTAAATTAAAAGTAATAAATCTTCTTATTGGTAAAGTCAACAGAAAAATATGAACGGTCTGTTAGTCTGTACCTAAAAGAAAATCAAAGAATTCACTTCTCTTTCTCATGTCAGTGTCAAACCAACCCAAAAAACACCCCACAAACTTTTGTATTACCTCGCTAGTACCAAAGGCCATAAAATCAGAAATGTGGATACTACACCCGCTTCAGTGTGACCAATCAGCAGCCATAAGTCATAACCAATGCGTTGCGTTCACATTATATAATTTTCTCAAGGAATATAACTTAGCCTCCACCTAAGATTTTTAGCTACTTGAAGAGAATTACACTTTCATTTTTTGGCAAAAAATTGTGTGAGACTATGATTCTTGTCCATGAAATGGATCGAATTTTAGACAACTGGATAATATGTTCAATGAAGGTACACCTATCACAATTCCAGTTATAAAGTATTACATTATTTATCATTAATAACAATTAATTTTACCATAAAATAGTATCAAAATTTCATATATGAGTACTAAAATATCTATCATAAGTAATGATTTAATTCCAAATAGTATTAAATTTTTTACAATTTCTTTCATAAGTATTACAATATTTATATTAGAATTACAAAACATTTTGTAAGTATCACAATTTATGTTATAAGTATTACAATATTTATCATTAGTAATAATCGTTTTACCTAAATACGTAAATATGTTAAGGTATTAAAATAAAATAATCATTATACGTAAATATTTATCACGCGAGTTGGGCCTAATATTGACCTAGATCACTTGGTCACTGCAACAAAGAATATAATTGCTCCAAAAACTGGAATGAAACAAAAACATAATAGAAGGTCTGGTTTTACTCCCTGGGAATAGAAGTGGTATTTCATTATAGGTTAGGAAACAGTATGTACAATAATCATAAGTTTGACAAGTAAATGAAATAAAATACTCTGTTACAAATCCCATATAGTAAGAAGATAATTGCCAGTTCCGGTGACTTCAACAGCTGCTCTTGGTAGCTGCAAAATGCTTCAAAATCACACCATCTGCAAGTGAAGGACCAGCCCATGTCCAGCGCATTGCTTTTCGACGCACCTCCTATATCATAAGATTACACCAAAATGAAACAAATTAATGGCCTAAAATTACATGATTTTACATGCATTTGATAAAAAAGAACAGGTCCATGTACTATATAAAATCCCTGTGCTACCATGCTCTCTATAGGATAAACCACACAAATTTACATAGGGAGTGTTTAAACAATATTTTGTCCTCCCTCGGCAGATAAGAAAAATGATCTAATTTTCAAACACTATTACTAGCTAGATGTAGCAGAGCTCTTCTTTACTGATTTTGGATAAGTTGGAGATATTACCTCTTCTATAGACACATTAGTTTCCACACCATTCACCCTTTCGTCATCGTTGCTCAACTCATTGCCTTGAATCTCCTTCAATGACTTAAATACATGTTCCATTGTCGGCCTCATATCCTTGTCAGGTTGCAAGCATTGAAAAGCTAGCGCTGCCACTGAAGTGGCCATTCTATTGATTTCAGTATACTGCTCATGTCCCAGAGAGGAATCAATGAGTTCATCAAATGCTCCTGTAAGAAACTTGCTCATTGCTAGTTTTGCCAAATGGATCTCGTCTGTATGCCTACGCATGTCCAGAGCAGGCATTGATGATATGAGTTCAATAAGAACAACCCCAAAGCTATAAACATCACTCTTATAAGTGAGCTGATAACACTCGTGATAATCTGGATCAACGTATCCAGGTGTTCCTTGAGGTGTAGTGGTGTAATGAGTGACATTAGCAGGGAAGAGTCTTGAGAGGCCAAAATCTGCAACTTTGACGCAGAAATTGTTGTCAAGAAGTATGTTACTAGACTTCACATCGCGGTGTATTATGTCTGAAGCATGGAGATAAACCAATGCTGCAGCAGTTTCCACTGCAATCGTCATGCGGATTGGCCACGCGAGCAGTTGATCTGCTGCTCTTTTGCTATGGAGGTGATCTGCAAGTGTTCCATTAGGTATGTATTCATACACAAGTAGGAGTTCACGGTTATGCATTGTTGAGCATCCATATAGTGTAACAAGATTTTGGTGCTTTAAACGGGTGAGAATTGAGATTTCATTTGCAAACTGCTCCATTCTCTTACAGGTGCGCTCATGAAGGCGCTTCACAGCAACTTCTCTTCCATCCCCTAGTCTCCCTAAATTGCATTCCAATAATTAGCCTAGAAAGTAGTGAATCTAATGGCAGACAAAGTTGAATATCTTTTATTCTCTTACCATAGTAAACAGTGCTAAAACCTCCATCTCCAAGTTCTTTAGAAGGATCAAAATTGTTTGTGGCCTCTTCAAGTTCGGAGTAGGAGAAGACTAGAATTCCAAAGAACCTACTCTGGCCTCTCTCGAGGTCTGAGGTGGGATCCGAAGATGTATTTCTTGAATAGCCTTTGCTTCCTTTCTTGCGTCGCCAAACAACAAAGATAGCCAAACTTACAAGGATCAGTGCTAGACTACCTAAAACTGAAGAATGAAGAATATGCATCAAGGTTTGAATTGCTCATAAATGTAGAGAAAGTAGGACAATGTAGCTGGTTAATGATGGTTATTACTTGAGCTATACCTGTGATTAGAATCAATCTCAACTTGCTCTTTCCTGTAGTCACTGCAAATAAGCAACTAAGCATTAGTAACATACTTCTATTATAGAATTGTCATGATACACAATAAAGTAACAGGCAACATAATATTTGACATCTATTGTACTAGAAGATTTGAACATAAATAGGAGTAAAACAAAGAGACAAACATGGAGATTAGCTGTGAGGACAAGTGTGATTACCTTTCGCACATTGAAATTCATTTTTGCTGTCTGATATACATTGGCCTCCTCCATTGTAACATTGATTGCAAGCAGGTGAAACTTCAAAGTACAGTCCAAATTGAGTAGTTAACGGATCACTTGTTCGCTCAACAACAATTGGAGTTGGATACAGGGTACAGTTAGCAGAATCACATTTGCGATTCTCTGAAACCAATTGACGTTTGTGATACAAACTAAATCCATCAACACAGTTATAGCTTTCATAATCGCAGATAGCAACAGCTTCACTGTATTTGCATTTTATATATTTATGTTGCAATTTGTTTCCTTCCAAATTGTCAAAAGTGATACAAGGAGAATTAGGAAATTTGACGCTGTAGTTTGAAATTGAGCAATCACGGCTACGAAAGAGCGTCCGAAGCTTCGAGTCTTCAAGAGTGATTGTACTGTCATCCCAGCTTATACTCACAATCTGATACCAATCTCCCCCTGTTTCCAACTGGAGCGTTGCAAGTGGTTTAGCATCACAATCTACTGAGATTAAGCCACAATGAGGGTTTGTGTGGTGAGCGAAAGGGAACTCCAGGGGACCGAGATTTCCACAGGAGAATCCCTTGGGACAATCAGATAGGGACTCGTCTTTTCCATGAGCGAAGTAAAAGGCCACTAAGGGGAACAGAAATGAGAAACAAGGAATGTAGGGCAGAGCCATAGCAGCTTCCTTCCTCAGCTCCTCTATCAATGGAAGAAGAGAGGAGAACAGCAGAAATAATTAAACGTTCGAGCTTGACTTGAGGTGTGAAAGAATATATTGACTTGGACTTCCGGACATGACTTTAGAAGCTATAAACCGCAAACAAGGAAATAAGGAATTTGATACTCAAAATTCCATGTATGACTTCTGACAGGGTGTTTGTTGAGATGAAAAAATCTATCCATATCTATATATATATATAAAAGTAAAATCCTCCTATGTTAACAGGGTGTTTGTTGAGATGAAAAAATCTATCCATATCTATATATATATAAAAGTAAAATCCTCCTATTTTATTTTCCCGTCCAAACTTTTGTAGTAAAACTTATTTGGTAATCAAATTTAAAATAAAAATTAATTAAAATCTATTAATTGATAATATTGTTTCCATATTCACGTATTAACCTAATTGGTAAATCTATTAATTGGTAATATTTTTTCCTTATATTCATTTATTCATTCTTTTATATTGAGTAATTATATATAGAGATATAGATATGTATACTAACATACCTCCAATGTTTATTCTTGCCCAGGATATTTCTCCATTGAAGACTTGCAGAGCTATTAGACTGCAATTGGTGTGCACCTATATGAAGTCCCATAGAGAAAGGGGAGTGAATTCATAAAATCTAGAGAGTGCATGTTTGAAGATCAAGAGGTATTTTTTTTTCAATTTTGTTTTTTTTTTATACGACTCCAATGTTTATTCTTGCCTAGGATATTTCTCCATTGAAGACTTCCAGAGCTATTAGATGGTGATTGGTGTGCACCTATATGAAGTCCCATAGAGAAAGGGGAGTGATTCCATAAAATCTAGAGAGTGCATATTTCCCGATCTAATGGTATTTTTTTCGATTTTGTTTTTTTCTAGAACTCATGTTGTATATGAAATTGGAAAAAAGATGCATTACAAAGCTGCTTCCTATACTGCAAAAATAAGTTGCAAAATAACACTTTTCTTTTTTACTTCATTGTAGGGAACTTCATGCTCATATACCAAGGGAACATGTTGGTAAGTACTGTAAGCTTTTCAAACAATGAAAAGTTTATGCCATTAAAAATTTTATGGTGATAAGTAATTTCTATATTTTCAAAAAATGCACTCATTATTTTATGTTGTAATTCCACTATGCTACTTTGGTTAAAGAATATAAAAAAAAATGACAACTTTTCTAGACAAATTTATTTATTGAAATTATTTTCATCTTTGAAGTCTGTAGATGATAAACAATTCGTTGGTAAGTTTCATTTACAATTTTAATCTACATTTGAATTTATTTATTTTTATTAACATGTTTGACGTTATTGGTAGAATCGTTGAGATATACTCCCCATTGGATAAGATCATTGCAGGGAAGCCTTCTTAACTTATTGATTTTCTAATTGTACGTGGATACAAAGTAAATTATCTAATTTTGTTATTTTTATTGTATTTTGTATATGTATTTTTTATTAAGTACTCCGTAGTTTATTTGTTTATAGGGACAATCAATTGAAAGCTACAGTGTGGGATCAACATATACCAAGGCCAAGAGTTGAAACTTTTTTTTTTTTTTTTTTTTTAAATTCTGGCCTTGCAAATCCTATGGTTGGTGTAGAGTTAAAAATGATACGAAGAGTTAATCTAAACAAAGTGTTTTAATTTTTCTTTATATTTGAAAGTGTTTGAATAATGACAAGTAATGAATGTTCTTTTTGATTAGCCAGTTATGTCACGATATGTAACAATGAAAAAAAATTCAAAATCAAAATCCTATTTACTTGATTTCTTGTCTAAACAATAGTAAATAGTAAAGGTAAATTAAAAAAAGAATGAAAAAATGAACATAAATATTTCACAATAATATTCTACATCATCAATTAAAATGAATATTAATAATTTACTGAAAATTAAAAATGAAAAAAAATGAATTGAAGTTAGGTTAATTGGAAAAGGAAATGAATATTAATAATTAAGTGAAAATAAAAATGATCCATAATTGACTAAAATAGAAAAGGAAATGGCCAGATCATTACATTTTAATTTTTCACAATAATATTATACAATAAAATACATCAAATCATAATTATGTCATAAATATTTCACAATTTTAAAACGAAAATTAAAAATAGAACGAAAATATTTTAATAATAATATTCTACATCATCAAGTAAAAGTAAATTAAAAATGAAAAGAAAATATTTAAATAATAATATTCTACATAATCAATAGTAAATGCATATTTTAAACAATAGTAAATGTAAATTAAAAATGAAACAAAAATTAAAAATAAAACCGAAATATTTCAGTAATAATATTCTACATCATCAATTAAAAATGAAATGAAAATTAGGTAAAAATATCACTGCATCTGATATTCTAATTGACTAATTGAATGGAAAAAAAAAATTGGCTGAAAATGAATATGTCATTACAAATTGACTGAAAATATAAAAAGAAATGAATATTAATAGTTGACTGCAAATAAAAAATGATCCATAATTGATTAATATGAAAAAAATAAATGGTTTGATCATTGCATTTTAATTAAAAATGGAACGGAAACTAAAATTTGATGAAAATATTTCAATAATAATTCTACATCATAAATAGTAAATGCATATTTTAAACAATATTAAAGATAAAATTAAAAATGGAACGTGAATATTTCAATAATAATATTATACATCATCAATTAAAAATTGAACGAAAATTAGGTAAAAATATCACTACATATGATATTCTAATTGACTAATTGACTAATTGACTAAAAATATATAAGAATAATTTGCTGAAAATGAATTTGATATTACTAATTGACTTAAAATATAAAAGGATTGCTAATTGACTAATACTCTACCATTATATATTTTCACCCGAGTCACCTATCCTGATGGACTGAAGGTGTTAGCTCTATACGATGATGGACAGGATTGCGTTGCTACAACCAATGTCATATACAAACAGATTTCAATAATGTGTAAATACAATCGTTGATATTATGTTTTTTTAAAATGACAAAATTGCTATATATCTAGACAAAAAAATATATATATTCCATACAAATGTAAGATAGCAATTCATTCCTATAACTGAGTTGCTAGAGAACGAACATATTTGCCTAATTTATATAAAAAAAAAATACTAAACAATGATAAATAAAATCTCCAAAGTTACAACATCGCATGCATACATCTACACATTAACGTTTAATTTGAGCAATTATTTGCTCAAATTCAAACAATGATAACATCAAAACACATAAATAATCCAAAACATATCTTCAATTGCACTGTATAATATTTGATGTTCTAATTTAAATAATTATATATCAATCCAAATATTTTTAATATATTATAACAAATCCATCCCGTGCATCGCACGGGCGAAAATACTAGTTATTATTAAAAACAAAACCTTTCTAAAAGAAATAACAATAAGTAATACTTAAAGTAATTCTCCTTTCCTTTTATATAATAATAAGGAAATAATAATCAGTAATACTTATTAAACAATAATAATTAATAGTATTTTTTTTCAGTCAATTAGTGATCCTTTTCTGTTTCCTTTTCTATAAGAATCAGTATACTTATTAAAGAACAATAATAACTAGTCAATTAGGGAATAAACTTATTAAAAACAAAATTTTCCTTTTTAATTATCCGTCTAAACAATTAATAATAATAAGGTTAGCAAAAAAAAAAAAATGAAAAGAATTAGTAATTCGAGAAGTCATAATTTTTTATAATTATTTATAAGAATTATTTTACTATTAATCTGATCAATATGATCAATATAAGGAAGATGAATCATTTTTTTATCCGAACCACATGGACAATAGGGTGTGGCCTCTTAGAAAATGAGTCATTTTTTAAAAAATATTTTCTTTTGCCGTGTTTGATTGCATTTTGGAAAACTTGATGTGTTTAGTTTATTTTCTGGAAAAATGAGTAGAATTGTATGTTTAAATATTTTGGTGGAAGTCATTTTTCGCCAAAATGACTTCATTTTTCCCTGTCAACAGAAAAATTTTCCGTTGACTGAATTTTCCTGTTGCATCCAAACACTGAAAACTCGAAAAACATTTTTCAAAAGTTATTTTTTGAGTTTCCAAACGGACCCTTAACCTAAAGTCACCACTTCAATGGTCGCTTATTATTCTGTGGACAGGGATCCACCTTGTAAGGTGGATTAGGGTTCAAAAATATACAATTTACATATATTAACTGTTTACAAATTTACATACTAAATATTTACAATTACATATATAATTTACATACTGAATGTTCACAATTTAAATTGTGAGCATTCAATATGTAAATTGTGTAATTTGAATCAGGACTCACCTTGTTAGGTGGCTCAAGGTCCATGGTATAGTTGTTGTTCAGTGGTAGGGTGGGGCCTGACTCCCACCAACAACATCTTGGAGAGTTGGAGGTAGGCTCACCAAGTTAGTGTTTGAGCTCTTGGGTTTCTCAAATTGACGGTAGTGTATAAAATGATAACTTCAGCGCAGAGTCAACGATAAGAACTGATTGGGAGGCTGCTTGGACAACTCGTGATTTACCTTCTCCAGCTACTCTTAGACATGGATTTAAGATTAATCTAGTGTAAGTTGAAAAACTTTAAAAAAAAAAAAAAAAAAAAAAAAAAAAAGGTGCGGAACGCAACATAAAAACTTCCAACAAAATAACTGGAGCCGATTGTTGATCGTCTGGAGTTATCTTTGACAGATCATATAATTGCTCCAAAAACAGGAACGAAACAATTCAAAAACATAATAGAATGCCTAATTTGCTAAAAATCAATAACAATAGTGTGGTTAGAATATATACTCCCTGGAATAGAATACTAGGTACAGTAATCATAAGTTTGATAAGAAGATGAAATCAAATACTCTGTTACAAATCCCATATAGTAAAAAGCCAATTGCCAGTTCCAGTGACTTCAAGAACTGCTCTTAGTAGCTGCAACGTGCTTCAAAATCACACCATCTGCAAGTGAAGGACCACCCCATGTCCATCGCATTGCTTTTCGTCGCACCTCCTATGTCATAACATTACACCAAAAATGAAACAAATTAATGGCCTAAAATATTTACTGATTTTGGATAAGTTGGAGATTATCTTACCTCTTCTTTAGACACATTAGTTTCCTCACCATTCACCCTTTCGTCGTCATTGCTCAACTCATTGCCTTGAATCTCCTTTAGTGACTCGAAAACATGTTCCATTGTAGGCCTCATATCCTTGTCAGGCTGCAAGCATTGAAAAGCTAGCTCTGCTACTGATGTGGTCATTCTATTGATTTCGGTATCATTCTCATATCCCAGAGAGGAATCAACGAGTTCATCAAATGCTCCCGTTACAATCTTTCTCATTGCTAGTTTTGCCAAATGGATTTCGTCTGTATGCCTACGCATGTCAAGAGCAGGCATTGATGATACAAGTTCGATAAGAACAACCCCGAAGCTATAAACATCACTCTTATAAGTTAGCTGATAACACTCGTGATAATCTGGGTCAACGTATCCAGGTGTCCCTTGGGGTGTAGTGGTGTAATGAGTGACATTAGCAGGGAAGAGTCTCGAGAGCCCGAAATCTGCCACTTTGACACAGAAATTGTGGTCGAGAAGTATGTTACTAGTCTTGACATCGCGGTGTATTATGTCTGAAGCGTGGAGATAAACCAATGCTGCAGCGGTTTCCACTGCAATCTTCATGCGGATTGGCCATGTGAGCAGTCGATCTGCTGCTCGTTTTCCATAGAGGTGATCTGCAATGGTTCCATTAGGAATGTATTCATACACGAAGAGGAGCTCACGGCTATGCCTCGTCGAGCACCCATATAGTGTAACAAGATTTCGGTGCTTCAACCGGGTGAGAATTGAGATTTCATTAGCAAACTGCTCCATTCTCTTGCAGTTTCGCTCATGAAGGCGCTTCACAGCAACTTCTCTTCCATCCCCAAGTATCCCTAATTTGCATTATTCCAAGAATTAGCCTAGAAACTAGTGAAAAAGAAACTGAATATCTGTTATTCTTAAATTACCATAGTAAACAGTGCCAAAAGCTCCATCTCCAAGCTCTCTAGAAGGATCAAAATTGGTTGTAGCTTCTTCAAGTTCAGAGTAGGAGAAGACTAGAATTCCAAACAGCCTACTCCTCCCTATCTCAAGGCCTGAGGAGGGATCTGAAGATTTATATCTCGAATATCCTTTGCTTCCTTTCTTGCTTCGCCAAGCAACAAAGATTGCGAAACTTAAAAGGATCAGTGCTAAAGCGCCTGAAACTGAAGCTAGAGAGAAAGAGCAAGTGTATATGAAGGTCTCATTAGACTTATATGAAGGATACATATATAGTTCAACGATGACAAGACTTACCTATGATCAGAATTGACTTGCTCTTGCTATTATTTCCTGTGGGAGTGTTCCCAGTGGTTACAGTAAAGTGTAAATAAGCGAACATATAATGTTAAAGATAAATTCCCTTTGATATATCATACTGTACAAGAAATGAAAACTTCGATTAAAGTCAAGAGTGGTTACCTTGTGCACAGTGAAATTCATTGTTGCTGACTTCTGTGCATTGCCCTCCTCCTTGGTAACAATCCTGGCAAGTTTCTGAGACTTGCAAGTGCAATCCAAATTGAGCAGTTAAGCCATCTTTTGTTTGTTGAATAACAATTGGATTTGGATACAGGGTACAGTTAACAGTACCACATTTGGGATTCTCTGGCAAGTGACGTTTATAGTACAAACTATATCCTTGAGTACAGTTATACCTTTCATAATTGCGGATAACAGCTTCACTGCCATTGATGCATTTAAAATGGTTGTTCCATGTGCTTGGATCGAAGCTGAGGAATGTGATAGAAGGAGATTTCTGAAAGTGGAGGGTGTAATTTAGATTTGAGTAATTATCGCTGTCAAAGGGTCTCTGAAGCTTTGAGTCTCCAAGGTAGATCATATAGGCACCCCTGAAACGATTCACAAGCAGAAGCGGATACCAATCTCCTCCCGTTCCCAGCTGAACAGTTGGGGGTGTTGTATTGCACTTAACTGCAACTAAACCACATTGAGGCTGTGTGTGTTTAGCAAAAGGGAAGTCCAGAAAACCGATAGCTCCACAGGAGAATTCTTTGGTACAATTAGATAGGAACTCAGGCTCTCCATGAACAAAGTAAAAGGCGGCCATTAAGGGAATGAGAAAGGAGAAGAAACAAGCAGGATTGAAGGATAGAGCCATAGGTGATAGCACCTTTCTCCTCCTCTAACAATGGAATTGGAAGAAGAGAACAGCAGAAAGACTTAAACGAGCTTGACTTGAGGTCAATTATGTTACGTATTTCCACGCTATATATGTAACCAGAGAGGTAATAGAAAAGATTGATAGAAGTAAGAACAGTGTTCAAATGGAAATCAAAGAATTCCAGTTCTCTTTAATTTCTAGGGCCCATGCAAGAAGAAAACCAACCCAAAAAACACGTACCCCATTGACTTTTGCATTCATCTGTATGCCAGGAGTGCTTTACCCGTGGAAGAGTCAGATATTTGAGCCCAATCGCTTAGGAACCTGAGTATGGAATAAAGAATCTGAGACTTAGAAAATAAAGGAGCATTTGATCATATTTTTCAGGCTTGCGAAGCAGTTTCTAATTTTCCACTCCTCCAAATCTCATCCCAAACATTTACTCCTCCAAAGCTTATCCCATGATTTTAAACCTCTGCCAATTTTCATATTTGACTTTATTATTTACACATAGTAAGTAGCTAACAATCTACTACATCACTCACAAATTTCTTTATTTTCTTTCACCTTTCTTTGTTGAACTGCAGCTTCTTCTTGTTGTGATAATAAAAATCAGAAAACCTGGATGGTAGAGGCGCTTTAGGGTGACAAGTTAACAACCATAACCAATGCCTCAATTAACCTACTTCTTTCTTAAGCCTAAGCTACTATATTATAGGTGTAAAGAAGGAGAGGCAAACAAGAAGAGTTATAAAACTAGCTCCTCTTGAAGGCCTAAAGACACAGAGGCAGCAACAGTGAACACACTGTTCACATCTATTCTTACAAATTTTACAAGGAGTCAAGGACTTTACTTCAATATCCTTATCTATTCGCCCTACCAAATGAACTATCTATATCAGACTTTAACAGGAAAGATTGAAGTGTTTTTATATTTTACATCTTTTGAGCATGGAAGCGTTACATAAAAGGAAATATGGCCTAATATTGACCTAGACAACTTGGTCAGTGCAACAAATTAAACACTATAGTTGCTCCAAAAACTGGAATGAAACAAAACCAAAATAGGAAGTCTGGTTTTAATTACTCCCTGGGAATAGAAGTGGTAGCTTCATTTATACATCTTTCACCATCGTTGCTCAACTCATTGCCTTGAATCTCCTTTAGTGACTCCAGAACATGTTCCATTGTGGGCCTCATATCCTTGTCAGGTTGCAAGCATTGAAAAGCTAGTGCTGCCACTGAAGTTGCCATTCTATTGATTTCGGTATCATTCTCGTATCCCAGAGAGGAATCAATGAGTTCATCAAATGCTCCTGTAAGAATCTTGCTCATTGCTAGTTTTGCCAAATGGATCTCGTCTGTATGCCTACGCATGTCCAGAGCAGGCATTGATGATAACAGTTCAATAAGAACAACCCCAAAGCTATAAACATCACTCTTATAAGTTAGCTGATAACACTCGTGATAATCTGGATCAACGTATCCAGGTGTTCCTTGTGGTGTAGTGGTGTAATGAGTGACATTAGGAGGGAAGAGTCTTGAGAGCCCAAAATCTGCAACTTTGACACAGAAATTGTTGTCGAGAAGTATGTTACTAGTCTTCACATCGCGGTGTATTATGTCTGAAGCGTGGAGATAAACCAATGCTGCAGCGGTTTCCACTGCAATCTTCATGCGGATTGGCCATGTGAGCAGTCGATCTGCTGCTCTTTTGCCGTGCAGGTGATCTGCAAGTGTTCCATTCGGGATATATTCATATACAAGGAGGAATTCACGGTTTTGCCTTGATGAGCATCCATATAATGTAACCAGATTTGGGTGCTTTAACTTGGTGAGGATTGAGATTTCATTTGCAAACTGCTCCATTCTCTTGCAGGTGCGCTCATGAAGGCGCTTCACAGCAACTTCTCTTCCATCCCCAAGTATCCCTAATTTGCATTGCATTATTCCAAGAATTAGCCTATAAAGTAGTGAATAAGAAACTGAATATCTGTTATTGTGTTACCATAGTAAACAGTGCCAAAAGCTCCATCTCCAAGTTCCTTAGAAGGATGAAAATTGGTTGTGGCTTCTTCAAGTTCGGAGTAGGAGAAGACTAGAATTCCAAAGAGCCTACTGCGGCCCCTCTCAAGGTCTGAGGTGGGATCTGAAGATGTATTTCTCGAGTAGCCTTTTCTTCCTTGCTTGCGTTGCCAGAAAAGAACGATTGCCATACTTACAACTATCAGTGCTAAAGCGCCTGAAACTGAAGAAAGATAGAGGAAATGTATATATATGAAGGTCTCATTTTCTCTGAAATGTAGAAAAAGTAGGATAATCCTAGCTGCTGCAGGTAGATGTGGTAACCTTAGACATATATGGAAAAACTTACCTATGATTGGAATTAGCTTGTGCATGCTTGTATTTCCTGTCGGGGTGTTCCATGTGGTGATGTTCCCTGTGGTGATGTTCCCTGTGGTGATGTTCCATGTGGTTACAGTAAAGAGTAAATAAGCAAACATATAATGTTCTATGTGAATATAATCAACACTACTGCAAAGTTTTAAGGCTGAGGAGAAGAGTGGTTACCTCGTGCACAGTGAAATTCATTCTTGCTGTCTTCTGTGCATTGCCCTCCTCCTTGGTAACACTCCTGGCAAGTTTTTGCGACTTCCATGTACAATACAAGATGAGCAGTCAAGCCATCATTTGTTTGTTGAATAATAAATGGAGATGGATACAGGGTACAGTTAACAGCATCACATTTTGGATTATTCTCTGGCAAGTGACGTTTGTAGTACAAGCTACATCCTTCAGTACAGTTATACCTTTCATAATTGCCTATATCATCAGCTTGACTGTCATTGCATGTAAAATAGGTGTTCAATAAGCTTGCATCCATATTGAGGAATGTGACAGAAGGAGAATTCTGAAAGTGGAGAGTGTAGTTTAAATTTGAGTAATTATGGCTCTCAAAAGGTTTCTGAAGCTTCGAGTCTCCAAGGTTGATCATATAGTAATCCCCAGAAGGCTTCAGTAAACGCAGAAGGGGATACCAATCTCCTCCGGATCCCGTGCCCAGCTGGAGAGTTGGGGGTGTAGTATCACAATTAACTGCCACTAAACCACAGCGAGTCTGTGTGTGTTTAGTAAAAGGGAACCCCACAAAACCCAAATTTCCACAGGAGAATTCCTTGGTACAATTAGATTGGAACTCAGCCTCTCCATGACCAAAGTAAAAGGCGGCCATTAAGGGAAGGAAAAAGGAGAAGAAACAAGCAGGATTAAAGGGCAGAGCCATAACAGCAGCAGCTTTTTCCTTCTCTCAGACAACTAACGGAAAAGATAAAATTATATTAGAGGCAGAGGATAACAGCAGAAAGACTTAAACGACGACCTTGACTTCAGGTCAACTTTGTTCCCCCTATTTCCACGCCAGGATAAGATGTAACTAAAGTATGAAGATTGGCACAAAAGTATGAAAAGCCTCTGCAAATGGAAATCAATGAATTCCATATCTCTTTCATAGGGGCCCATGCAAGAATTGGAAGAAAATCAACCAAAAAACACATCTAGCTACTTTTGCACCAATTAATGGATGCTAGATGTGCTTTAAGCTTACAAGTTAAACAACTTTTATATATAATAATACACAAGACTGCTTAAATTAGAGCAAAGATCAGTGAGAATATATACCAACTCTTTGCAATTACTTTTGTTTCTATGGGAATAACATGACTTTCCCTAATGTTTTCCCTGTCAGGCTGTACCTTTAGAACCTGTATAAGGGAACCACTACACTTAAACCAAATGAACCACAAACTAACTTATGCCATTCATAATTTACAAACAATTCAGTGGGTGTATGTTTAAACAAAAATTATCAACTCCATTAAAGAAGCAAAGTAAGAATCACCCACTGTTGCTGGTTGAAGTAGAACTACTAACCCACTTATCAGTCACAGAAGTCGGGGAAACTGTCAATCTAATCCCCTTCAACAATATGGCATCTTCTGATTCAGATGAAGGAGGGACTTGTACACTCCCTGATACATTATTATTATTACTCGTCTCTCGTTCCATGTTGCTTTTTACCCCACCACCTTGAATCTCCTTCAATGTTTCCAGGACTTCATCCATTGTAGGTCTCATATCCTTCGCGCGTTGCAAGCATCGAAAAGCTAGCTCTGCTACACAAGTAGTCATCCTCATAATTTTGGTACCTGTCTCAAACCCCAGACACAAATCAATCAGCTCATCAAATGCACGTCGGACTGTCCTATTCATGGCTAAGTTTGACAAGTTGATTTCATAAGGTCACCTAATTAGGCTATAATGCACATAAAACAAACCACAATAAAAAACTAAATCCAATCAATTAACTAGTCTAACTTATGACCTTATAAATTCATATGTTATCTCTTATATTTTCAATGTGGAACTCTTAACAGCTACAAATTTACAACGACCTCACTTCAATTTCTATAGCTATTTACCCTACCAAAATAAACTATCAGACTGGAAATATTGAAGTGTTTTTGTACCTCTTTTGAGAATGGAAGCGTTACATAAAAGGAAACATGGCCTAATATATATTGACCTAGACCACTTGGTCAGTGCAACAAAGACTATAGTTGCTCCAAAAACTGGAATGAAATAAAACCAAAATAGGAACTCTGGTTTTACTCCCTGGGAATAGAAGTGGTAGTTTCATTTATAGGTTAGGAAACACTAGTATAGGTACAATAATCACAAGTTTGATAAGAAAATGAAATAAAATACTATGTTACAAATCCCATATATATAGTCCGTAGGCAATTGCCAGTTCCAGTGACTTCATCAAGAACTGCTCTTGGTAGCTGCAACATGCTTCAAAATCACACCATCTGCAAGTGAAGGACCACCAAAAAGCAACAAATTAATGGCCTAAAATATCACATGATTTTACAAGCATTTCATAAAATGCACAACTCCATTTACTAGATAGATGTAGCAGAGCTACTAACCCACTTAACATTTACTGATTTTGATAAGCTGGAGATCAGATCTTACCTCTTCTTTAGACACATTAATTAGTTTCCTCATAATTCACCCTTTCGTCATCGTTGCTCAACTCATTGCCTTCAATCTCCTTTAGTGACTCCAAAACATGTTCCATTGTGGGCCTCATATCCTTGTCAGGTTGCAAGCATTGAAAAGCTAGTGCTGCCATTGAAGTGGCCATTCTATTGATTTCGGTATCCTTCTCATATCCCAGAGAGGAATCAATGAGTTCATCAAATGCTCCTGTAACAATCTTGCTCATTGCTAGTTTTGCCAAATGGATCTCGTCTGTATGCCTACTCATGTCCACAGCAGGCATTGATGATACGAGTTCAATAAGAACAACCCCGAAGCTATAAACATCACTCTTATAAGTGAGCTGATAACACTCGTGATAATCTGGATCAACGTATCCAGGTGTTCCTTGAGGTGTAGTGGAGGCATGAGTGGCATTAGCAGGGAAGAGTCTTGAGAGCCCAAAATCTGCAACTTTAACACAGAAATTGTTGTCGAGAAGTATGTTACTAGTCTTCACATCGCGGTGTATTATGTCTGAAGCGTGGAGATAAGCCAATGCTGCAGCAGTTTCCACTGCAATCTTCATGCGGATTAGCCATGTGAGTAGCCGATCTGCTGCTCTTTTGCCGTGCAGGTGATCTGCAAGTGTTCCATTCGGGATATATTCATATACAAGGAGGAATTCACGGTTATGCCTTGATGAGCATCCATATAGTGTAACCAGATTTTGGTGCTTTAACCGGGTGAGAATTGAGATTTCATTTGCAAACTGCTCCATTCTCTTGCAGCTGCGCTCATGAAGGCGCTTCACAGCAACTTCTCTTCCATCCCCAAGTATCCCTAATTTGCATTATTCCAAGAATTAGCCTATAAAGTAGTGAATAAGAAACTGAATATCTGTTACTGTGTTACCATAGTAAACAGTGCCAAAAGCTCCATCTCCAAGTTCTTTAGAAGGATGAAAACTATTTGTGGCTTCTTCAAGTTCGGAGTAGGAGAAGACTAGAATTCCAAAGAGCCTACTGCGGCCCCTCTCATGGTCTGAGGTGGGATCCGAAGATGTATTTCTCAAGTAACCTTTTCTTCCTTGCTTGCGTTGCCAGACAAGAACGATAGCCATACTTACAACGATCAGTGCTAATGCGCCTGAAACTGAAGAAAGATAGAGGAAGTGTATATGAAGGTCTCACTTCCTCTGAAAAGTAGGATAATCCTAGCTGCTGCTGGTAGATGTGGTAACCTTAGACATATATGGAAAAACTTACCTATGATTAGAATTGGCTTGCGCTTGCTCGTATTTCCTGTCGGCGTGTTCCATGTGGTGATGTTTCCTGTGGTGGTGTTCCCTGTGGTGATGATCCCTGTGGTTATGTTCCCTGTGGTTACAGTAAAGAATGAATAAGCGAACATATTAATGTTAAAGATAAATTCCCTTTTATCAGTGATAAAGAAAACAAAATTTTGATTAGTGTGTAGAAAAGTGAAACAAGATTATATGCAGCCTAGCTGCCATGTTTTTAATCTCCTATCAACAGTTAGCAGGTAGCCATAGGCATTGCAGTTAATCAAAAGCATCTTCTATGTGAATATTATTAGCTAATATAATGAACACTGCATAGTTTTAAGGTGGGTTCAAGGCTGTGGAGAAAAGTAGTTACCTTGTGCACAGTGAAATTGGTTCTTGCTGTCTTCTGTGCATTGCCCTCCTCCATTGTAACACTCCTGGCAAGTTTCTGAGACTTGCAAGTACAATCCAAATTGAGCAGTTAAGGCATCATTTGTTTGTTGAATAATAAATGGAGATGGATACAGGGTACAGTTAACAGTATCACATTTAAGATTATTCTCTAGCAACTGACGTTTGTAATACAAACTAATTCCATCACTACAATTATACCTTTCATAATTGCCTACTATATCATCAGCTTTACTGTCATTGCAATGAAGAAAGGATTTAAATATGCTTTCTTCCTCCATATTGAGGAATGTGATAGAAGGAGAATTCTGAAAATGGAGGGTGTAGTTTAAATTTGAGTAATTATGGCTCTCAAAGGTTTTCTGAAGCTTAGAGTCTCCAAGGTAGATCGCATATTCACCCGCCAAGAAATTCTGAACACTCTGATGAAGCGGATACCAATCTCCTCCGGTTCCCAACTGGAGAGTTGGGGGTGTAGCATCACAATTAACTGCAACTAAACCACAATGAGGCTGCGTGTGTTTACCAAAAGGGAACCCCACAAAACCGATATCTCCACAGAAGAATTCCTTGGTACAATTAGATAGGAACTCAGGCTCTCCATGAACAAAGTAAAATGCGGCCATTAAGGGAATGAGAAAGGAGAAGAAACAAGCAGGATTAAAGGGCAGAGCCATAGCAGCATCAGGTTTTTCCTTCTCTCGGACAAATGTACTAATGGAAGTGTTGGGAAAAATCTCACTATAATGAAAATCACAAATCTTAAGCGGTACATGAACTATTGAAGATAAAAGAAGAGAAATTATAGAAGAGGGGAACAGCACAAAGAATTGAACGACCTCGACCTTGACTTCAGGTCAACTATGTTCCCCCTTATTCGTATTCAAAAATAATAATAATAATAAAATAAAATAAAATGTTCCCCCTTATTCCACGCGAAGTAAGCAGAGAGCCAAAAGAGAAGACTGACACAAAAGTATGAACTATGAAGGCTCTGCATATGGAAATGCAAGAATTCCATCACTTTCATAGGGCACATGCAAGATTGCAAGAAGAAAACTAACTCAAATAACACGGCAAATTTTATTGTCGTAAAAAAGGGTGCCGTTCTGTGTAATTAGTTCTATTTGTATAACATATTTAGTGATACTGAATATTAGATATAAATAATCTAACCATATTGAATAATAACCTAACCTCATAGAAACGGATGCAATATTGATCTTCAGCAACAGTTGATGTTCTTTGTTGTGTTGTCTCTTGAACGGTAGATCGTTAGCCATATTTTATCTCATACTCGACTCAGAACCACATATAGTGTCTACTGAGTTGTGTGAGTACCGTAAGTGAATGTGCTTATAATAAATATCGAAATATCCTGTATCCCATTAGCAAATTATGTTGTGGAATCATGTCCACCTTGCAAGGTGGACACGGTTCCAAAACTGTTCATAATTATGAATATATAATTATGTAATTATGACTATAGAGATTCAATAATTATGAATATGAAGTTCAAAAATTATAAATATATAACTTTATAATTATGAACATAGAATTCTCTAATTATGAATATATAGTTCAATAATTATGAATATGAAGTTCAAAAATTATGAATATAGAGTTCAATAATCATCTAACACAAGCAATGTGTAAATCCAATGTGAAAAATATATTTTACTGTTACAACTGGAAAGGTGGACAATAATGGGAAAATATACTTTAGGACATGCGTTTGGGGTTAGAAACGATGTCCCAAATGCATATGAATTTTTTTTTATTTTTTATAAATGTTGACCACAGACGCAAGTCATGATGTATCACACTTGGGTTTCATGCATGTATGTATGTTCCGGAACTAAGCCAAACAAGCAGAAACAGAGCACGAGATCAAAAACCGCACCGCAAAATACATGACCCAGAGTATCTTTTCCCATTATTATCCACCTTTTAAAAGTGTCCTATTTTTGCCCATACATGAGAAATATGTCCTATTACAGTAAATGGCCTCTGATGTTAGAGAGTGGATTCAAGAGCATAATTTGAGATCTCACTCCGGAATAAATAAATTCCATTAAGCCCCTGCCTTCAAGAACCTTAGCTTGCAACTTCATCTTCTTGAATATATATGTAGCTTAATTTTGTCTATAACTTCACACGCACACTTCGGATTATATTGCACATGCAAACAGGTAGAGGTCTCCGGCTAAATAACTCATCCCAAAGTAACTTTAATTTAACTGAGTGTAAAACTCGGTGACAGTATAGGCACCTTGCTAGTGGGATAGATCAGATATCCTCATTAATGTTTGAGATTTGAAAGGTATCTCATTCTCTTAACCTTTCCTTGAGAGATTAATCCACACATTCTCGACAGATTCTATCCACAACACACTTTGTGCTATTGCGGGAACCACACAGTGTAGAATCCATTAGGGAACTAAGTTGTTAGCTCTTTACCATGCATGAAAGGTTTCATCAGATTTTCCAAGCATTTTAATAGCACCATTTACAAATCCTAATTTGTTTTTGGACAGCAGCGCCATGCACATATCTCTTTTCCCAATCCCTAGGAGTAATAGTTCTTCCTGGTTAGAAGTTGAGAGACTAGTCCTAGTGAACCCTGAACACTTTTCACATCTATTATTACAAATTTACAAGGACCTCACTTCAATTTCTTTAGCTATTCAGTATTCACCCAACCAAAATGAACTACGTACCAGACTTCAACAGAAAAGATCGAAATAGAAGTGGTAGTTTCATTTATAGGTTAGGAAACACTAGTATAGGTACAATAATCATAAGCTAGTTTGATAAGAAAATGAAATAAAATACTATGTTACAAATCCCATATAGTCAGAAGGCAATTGCCAGTTCCAGTGACTTCAACAGCTGCACTTGGTAGCTGCAACATGCTTCAAAGCAACAAATTAATGGCCTAAAATATCACATGATTTTACAAGCATTTGGTAAAATGCACAGCTCCATTTACTAGATAGATGTAGCAGAGCTACTAATCCACTTAACATTTACTGATTTTGATAAGCTGGCATGGAGATCTTACCTCTTCTTTAGACACATTAATTAGTTTCCTCACAATTCACCCTCGTTGCTCAACTCATTGCCTTGAATCTCCTTTAGCGACTCCAAAACATGTTCCATTGTGGGCCTCATATCCTTGTCAGGTTGCAAGCATTGAAAAGCTAGCGCTGCCACTGAAGTCGCCATTCTATTGATTTCGGTATCATTCTCATATCCCAGAGAGGAATCAATGAGTTCATCAAATGCTCCTGTAAGAATCTTGCTCATTGCTAGTTTTGCCAAATGGATCTCGTCTGTATGCCTATGTATGTCCAGAGCAGGCATTGATGATAAGAGTTCGATAAGAACAACCCCAAAGCTATAAACATCACTCTTATAAGTGAGCCGATAACACTCGTGATAATCTGGATCAACGTATCCAGGTGTTCCTTGAGGTGTAGTGGTGTAATGAGTGACATTAGCAGGGAAGAGTCTCGAGAGCCCAAAATCTGCCACTTTGACGCAGAAATTGTTGTCAAGAAGTATGTTACTAGTCTTCACATCGCGGTGTATTATGTCTGAAGCGTGGAGATAAGCCAATGCTGCAGCAGTTTCCACTGCAATCTTCATGCGGATTGGCCACGTGAGAAGTTGATCTGCTGCTCTTTTGCCGTGCAGGTGATCTGCAAGTGTTCCATTCGGGATATATTCATATACAAGGAGGAATTCACGGTTTTGCCTTGATGAGCATCCATATAATGTAACCAGATTTTGGTGCCTTAGCCTGGTGAGGATTGAGATTTCATTTGCAAACTGCTCCATTCTCTTGCAGCTGCGCTCATGAAGGCGCTTCACAGCAACTTCTCTTCCATCCCCAAGTATCCCTGCATTGCATTATTCCAAGAATTAGCCTATAAAGTAGTGAATAAGAAACTGAATATCTGTTACTGTTTTACCATAGTAAACAGTGCCAAAAGCTCCATCTCCAAGTTCTTTAGAAGGATGAAAATTGTTTGTGGCTTCTTCAAGTTCGGAGTAGGAGAAGACTAGAATTCCAAAGAGCCTACTGCGACCCCTCTCAAGATCTGAGGTGGGATCCGAAGATGTATTTCTCGAGTAGCCTTTTCTTCCTTGCTTGCGTTGCCAGACAAGAACGATAGCCATACTTACAATGATCAGTGCTAAAGCACCTGAAACTGAAGAAAGATAGAGGAAGTGTATATGAAGGTCTCACTTCCTTTGAAATGTAGAAAAAGTAGGATAATGCTAGCTGCTGGTAGATGTGGTAACCTTTGACATATATATATATATGGAAAAACTTACCTATGATTGGAATTAGCTTGTGCTTGCTTGTATTTCCTGTGGTTACAGTAAAGATCAGAGTAAATAAGTGAACATATAATGTTAAAGATAAATTCCCTTTTATCATATTGTAAAAGAAAAAAAAAATTGATTAATGTGTAGAAAAGTGAAACAAGATTATATGCAGCCTGCCATGTTTTTCATCTCCTATCAACAGTTAGGAGGTAGGCATAGCCATTGCAGTTAATCGAAAGCATCTTCTATGTGAATATTATTAGCTAATATAATCAACACTGCAAATTAAGTTTTAAGCTAGATAGGTGGTTACCTCGTGCACAGCGAAAATTGTTCTTGCTGTCTTTTGTGCATTGCCCTCCTCCATTGTAACAATCATGGCAAGTTTTTGAGACTTCTAAGCGCAATACAAGATGAGCAGTTAAGCCATCATTTGTTTGTTGAATAACAAATGGAGATGGATACAGGGTACACTTAACAGCATCACATTTGGGGTTATTCTGTGGCAAGTGACGTTTGTAGTACAAACTACGTCCTTCAGTACACGTATACCTTTCATAATTGCCTACATCCTTAGCTTGACGACTGTCATTGCATATAAAATAGGTGTTCAATAAGTGTGCATCCCAATTGAGGAATGTGATAGAAGGAGAATTGTGAAAGTGGAGGGTGTAGTTTAAATTTGAGTAATTATGGCTCTCAAAGGTTTTCTGAAGCTTCGAGTCTCCAAGGTTGATCGCATACGTACCCCTGAAATCCAATACAAGTTGAAGCTGATACCAATCTCCTCCTGTTCCCAACTGCACAGTTGGGGGTGTTGTATCACAATTAACTGCCACTAAACCACAATGAGGCTGCGTGTGTTTACCAAAAGGGAACTCCAGAAAACCCAAATTTCCACAGGAGAATTCCTTGGTACAATTTGATAGGAACTCAGCCTCGCCATGAACAAAGTAAAAGGCGGCCATTAAGGGAAGGAGAAAGGAGAAGAAACAAGGAGGATTAAAGGGCAAAGCCATAGCAGCAGCTTTTTCCTTCTCTCAAACAACAAACGGAAGAAGAGGAGAAATTATAGAAGAGGTGAAGAGCACAAAGCTAGACTTGAACAACGACCTTGACTTCGGTCAACTATGTTCCCCCAACTCCCACGCCAGGGGTCAAAGACTGAAATGAGAAAGAAGTAGAAATTGTTGACAAAAATGAAAATTTTTTTAAAAAATAGACAGCATTAGGAAAAATTCATTTGGACCATGCGTTTCTAACAAATGTCAAAAATGAATGTCTCACATGTGTTTGAATTTAATTTTGTTTTTAAATTATAACAAATAATAATAATAATAATAATAAGTGGTACTTTTGTCTTAGGTATTATACCAGAGACACAAGTATCACTTGCGTCTCTACCCCGTCTACCGTGTTTCTTTCACGGTTTTTCCGCCGGCGAAAGCTTGCACAGGCAGCACGGTCATGAATCCATGGTAGCTATTGCTGGGGTTGCGGATGGTAAAGGTGAGGTTGAACTGTTCTTATGATCTGCGCAATGACGATTTTTCTCCCTCCGACTAGTTCCACGGCGGCACGGCCTCTGGATATCAAGAAATGCTTGGAGTCTATGTACTTCACCTGCTTGAGGGACTCCACAGTCCACCCTGGGATGGGTGAGTATGGGTCTTGTCCCTTGGGGTGTAGGAGGACTCCGATGGAGAAGTTATTGAATAGATGAGGTTCACAAAAATTCAAGTAGTACTTGTGTGTTTTCTTTAATTTTAAGGAAAAAAATTAAGTTCAAACGTATGTCCGACAAGAAACGCATGTCTCAAATGAGCTTTTTCTTAATGTTGTTCATTTTTAAAAAATTTTCTTTTTTGTCAATAATTTTTAATTCTTTCCCATTTTAGTGTTTGACCCATAGCCAGATATCAGCCAAAAGAGAAGACTGACACAAAAGTATGAAGCCTCTGCATATGAAAATCAATCAAAGAATTCCGTATCTCTTTCATAGGGCCCATGCAAGAATATAATTGAAGAAAACCAACTCCAAAAACACGGAACCAATCAATGGATGCTAGATGTGCTTTAAGATGACAAGTTAACAATCACTGCAACAAATTAAACAACTTTTATATAATACACAAGACTGCTTAAATTAGAGCAAATATAGTAAGAATATATATATGAACACTTTGCAATTACTTTTGTTTCTATAGGAATAACATGACTTTCCCTAATGTTTTCCCTGTCAGGCTGTACCTTTAGAACCTGTATAAGGGAACCACTACACTTAAACCAAATGAACCACAAACTAACTAATGCGCTTCATAATTTACAAACAATTCAGTGGGTGTATGTTTAAACAAAAATCAAATCAAAAACTATTAAAGAAGCAAAGTAAGAATCACCCACTGTTGCTGGTTGAAGTAGAACTACTAACCCACTTATCAGTCACAGAAATCGGGGAAACTGCCAATCTAATCCCCTTCAACAATATGGCATCTTCTGATTCAGGTGAAGGAGGGACTTGTACACTTCCTGATACATTATTATTATTACTCGTCTCTCGTTCCACGTTGCTTTTTACCCCACACCCTTGAATCTCCTTCAATGTTTCCAGGACTTCATCCATTGTAGGCCTCATATCCTTCTCGTGTTGCAAGCATCGAAAAGCTAGCTCAGCCACACAAGTAGTCATCCTCATAATTTCGGTATCCGTCTCAAACCCCAAACACGGATCGATCAGCTCATCAAATGCACGTCGGACTATCCTATTCATGGCTAAGTTTGACAAGTTGATCTCATGTCTATGCCTAGTTATATCCACAGCGGGCATCGATGAAATGAGCTCAATAAGAACCACACCGAAACTGTAAACATCACTCTTATCGGTGAGCTGGTAGAACTCGTGGTACTCGGGGTCAACATATCCAGGCGTTCCTTGGGGTGCAGTGGAGACGTGTGTGGCATTACTGGGGCATTGTCTTGAAAGCCCGAAATCTGCAACTTTCACACAAAAGTTTTCGTCGAGGAGAATGTTGGTAGTCTTCACATCCCGGTGTATTATGCCAGAAGCATGGAGGTAAGCCAAAGCACTAGCGGCTTCCACTGCAATGTTCATGCGGATAGGCCACGTGAGCGATCCATCTGTCGCTCTTTCCCCGTGGAGGTGATCAGCAACTGTTCCATTAGGGATGTATTCGTAAACGAGGAGCAGTTTATGACTGTGCCTTGACGTGTAACCATAAAGGGTTACAAGACTACGGTGTCTTAGGGAGGCGAGAATCTCAATTTCGTTTCTAAATTGCTCCATTCTCTTGTTGTTGTGCTCATATAGCCGCTTCACAGCAACTTCCCTTCCATCCCGAAGTTTCCCTGGTTATTAACGTACAAGAATTAGCTTTCAAAACCATGTTAGTTGCATACGAATTTGGAATAACAGCCATATTCAGTTAGAGATGTCTTACCATAGTAAACAGTTCCAAACCCCCCATCTCCAAGTTCTTTGGAAGGATCAAAATTGTTTGTTGCTTCTTCAAGTTCAGAGTAAGAGAAGATAGGAACCCCAAGGTATTTACTCTCTTGTTCAAGGTCTCGTTTCAATGAGAGATCAGAAGATGTGCTAGTGCTACGACGAAAGAACCGTGAAGAACCCCAACCTCCCTTCTTGAGACGGCAAAGAACAAAAACCACCACCAGAGTCGAAGCGAGGATCAATATAATTGCTCCAAAAACTGGATTAAAACAAAAACATAATCAAACGTCTGGTTTGCTAAAAATCAAGAAAAAGAGTGGCAGATATTTTGACCAATGAAGCAAACTTCAACATCATGAGAGAACACTAAAGCATGGAATGGAAATTTTTTTTAAAAAAAAAAATGAAAAAACGAAAAACATCAAGGTAGATGACAGATATACCTGCTATTAAAATCAGCTTCTTTTTACTTTTTGGAGTTCCATCTGCTACAAAAGTCAACCAGGAAGGGTTAGTTAACTAAAATGTCCACAAGAAGCAAAGAGAACAAATATCATCAACAACATATATTTAAACTAAGTAGGAATATACAGGGAAAATATAAACGTGATATGGTAACAAAGAAGGCCCAAGTGAATAAATATCTACCTGATATGACTGACAAGAAATGACAAACAAATGCATGAAGGAGTGAAGGACTCAAAACATGTAATTGGATGGTATTTTACTGCTCTAGTGAATAAATATCTACCTGATGTTTCACCTCTCTTGTTGACTTAGACTTGGTCCATAGTTGCAGTATTCAACTTATATAAAAGTTTTTTAATTAAAGCCATAAGGTTGAGTTCCCAAAAGACGTCAACATAAATGAAAAATCAATTTATTATTTAGCAACAAGCATGACTAGGCATTTAGATATGGACATAAACCATTGTGTGGAAACCAGTTAATCAGTGATGTTATACTGAAAAGACTGAAGTTGATAGGATTGAAAGTAGTAAGTAGTTAATAGGGGATGGGGATTATATTAAGATCACAAGCTTTTATAAGACGGCCTAATGGCCTATAGATGCACTGATGTGTTCCCTCTTTCCCTTGCGGTAAATCCAACAGAGCAGACTGTTCAGATCAGAGTAGTTACAATGAAAGATTTTTCATTCTTGACCAAACTAAACACATAGGCCAAAGAGGTCGTGATGCACAGAGTTAGGGGGTAGATGTCCATTGGGGGTAAGTGATCCTTAGTAGGTACTACAGCTTGAACCTCACAAAAAAACCTCAAAGATTTGCTTACTCCTGAAACTTTCTACAAAAATACTCTTTTTTTCCACCAAAATGATAATATATGTAATTGTAAGGACCCTGCCTATGCAATCTTCACTACTAAGTTCACAGTTTCACCACCAAGAGGAATTGATAGCCTTCTCCATCCTCTCAGACGATATCAAAGATAACTGCAAAATGGTTAGGTGGGCACCTCTATGGTGAACAAAGAAACTAGTAGAAAAAGTTGTATACGAACTAGTCTTTTTGGATTGAATGCATAGTCAGGTTCAAGTAGGATTCATAATGGTATCATATCTAAATCATTCCAACTGTTTGAACCTTGGGAAATTTAGAAAAAAATGACCTTGTTTGGATGCATTCATGCCTCTTAGACTACTCATAACATCTTTTCAGAAAAATGTCATAACTCAAGAAGCTGGCTCCACCGGTTTTGTTGTGGCCTAATGTCCTAAATGGAATCACTGGCATTCAGTTCAACCTAATTCACAATAAAACATCATTTCATGGAGGTTAATAGAGATCAATTTTCTCCAGGTTCTCTGGCCGGGTAAATCCATACAGATAGATAATGACATGAACTTGTTTAAACCAGAAGACTATTGCTTAACATTTTAATTTTAGAAGACTTTACTGTTAGGAAAGGAAAACTACAGTTAGAATTGACTTTGCATCAAGAATTACCAGTAATTATTGAATGAACTCTGAGCAATAACAAAGTACCAATAGAGAATGCAAATGAAGAACAGAAGGGGGGCTTACCGGGTTCAGGTTTGCATCTCGCGGCATGAGGCCTGTCAGGACAGAAACACAAGAAGTGGAGAGTGGTGGCGTTAAACCCACACCGCCCTCCACTCTCTGCACATTCTTTGCAACTACTTACATTCCATCTCAACTCAAATCCCCTTTTCAATAACAAATCATAGTTCACCACACCACTTCTATCAGTTATATCATCTTCCCTTATCTCCACTGGTGCCAACACATTCTCTTTGCAATCCTGCAACGCAGATTTCAAGTTTCCACTACCTTCAAACAATACCAACCCCCAATCATTACAACCAACCTTGTACCTCCAAAGACGCTCTACAATTGATTCACTGCAATTCCGCAATATATTGATTCTTGATTCAGTACCCAACCTCAACCAAACACTCAAACTCCCATTTGTCACCGTTAGATTCTTAATATCAGGAAGACAACCAGCCTCCATTCCTGAAACGGCAGAATTATAAACCCGAAAAGAATTGTTGTCATAGGAAATGTTGTCAACTACATAATCATTTTCAGGTATGCGAAGAATCGGATAGCCCTGCCCATCACAACTGATGTTGAACTCTGGGAAACCACAATAAGATTCATGCTGGCCTTGAAGAAAAAAGGGATACTTTATTTCTGGGCCATGGGCACATTTCTTCGACTCACAGGCTTCATATTGTAGATCAGCAGCAGCAACAGAATAAGATTTCGCTGCCAGAAGGACAAAACTGAATATACAAAGGTGCAGCGATACTATGTATTCTTGGTTCATTTGTGATCTTGAACAGGTGAAAGATAAGCAAAGGGATTATAGGAGAAAGAATGAGAGGCAGAAAAAGAAGGGAGATGGAGATGGAGATGGAGGGATTTGAGTATTGTTTGACTGGGTAAATGGTGGCTCCGCCTGAAAGCGCTGACTATCCATATCTCCGTCGTATCTTTAGGCTGCTGAGCGCATTCAAGAATCAAGAATCAAGAATCAAGAATCAAGAGTAGCCGAAATGGGGTCCTATTATTTATCCACAATTCCATATTAATTAAAGTCACATGAATTCACCAATCTCTGTGCTCCACGTACACGGCATAAAATATATCATCATTGCTAACGTTTGACTTACAATTATAACTGGATTAGGCGTGGGGAAATCAAAACCGTTAAAACATGTGGTTAGATTGTTTCTATCTAATATAGTAATATCATATTCTTATTAGACCACCTTGGATCTTCACCTCATGAGAGGAAACATTTTTTTATAAATATTACATTTTCTCACGTAATTAATAATTAATTAATATATCCAATGTTGAAAAAATTGTTAAGCATCTTCTAGGCGCCTGAGGATCGCTAGGCGCAATTTTTGCACACGGAATATATCCTAATTAATATTATATATTTTTGTTCTAAAAATAGTGTCCCATATTACCTCAACTTTATCAACCCCCACTTACATGTAAAACAAAAGATTTGGAGGATATTTTGTAAATAGCTTGTTAGTTAATGGTTGTTAGCTGATTAGGTTAGTGGGTTTGACTAGTTGATAATATTAAGTGATTATAGAAGTGTATCTGTTAGTTGATAGTTGATTACATGCAAAATAACTTTTTCAAAAAATTTATCAATTTTAGCATTTTAGACTAATAAGTTGTTCCAAAAAACTAGTTAATCAAGCACTTATAGTGATTGTTTAATCAAGTCAAATAGTTAATAGTTATTAAATAAGTCAAAATTAGCTGATAAGCTAATATGTTATCAAACAGGACCTTTTTAGAAAATAAAAATAAGATTAGTTCTACCATACTAATAGTTAATTTTCAAAAAAAAAAAAATACTAATAGTTAAAAAAAATTGTTAAAATATAAATATCAGAAATATTTATAATTTTTTAAAAATAAGTTTTATAATTAGTTGAAGATGCGTTGTTTTTTATTTTTAATAATCCGGCATTTGACAATTGATTATCCTTGGACTGTTTGACATTAATCACAGCTAAGGAAAGGTCACATGTTTCCTGCTTAATCAATTTCCAGAATTGCAGACACCCATGCAGCTGGGACAAACTCAGATGTCTGTAATCAATATATTTTTCACCGGTTTTTACGCATGCAACTCATTTCCGTATTTTTATTTTTTTTTTGAGAGCTTTTTACTCCTTGGAAAATGATGCCAACTATTAAATAGGAATGTGAACATATAAAGTACTCACAAAAATCGTTTGAATTAAGTTATAGAGATTAAAAAAATCAAAAATTTTCATTATTTGATGTGGTAATTGACGGTATTAATTGATGTAATACAGAAAAATTAAAGATAAATAGAAGAGTAAACAAATAATGAGTTTCAATGATTGTATTGCTTGAAGGGTTTATTATAAGTTTAGAGCGTGTCCCACATTTGTTACAATATAATACGCTATATATATATATATATACTAAACTAACAACATATACAACAGCTCGTATTAATTGCTTCAATGAAATTTGAATTAACTCAATTACCTAACAGACACAGCGACTCCGGCATTAATGGCAATGGCTTCAGCTTGGATTGACTCCCCGCTCTTGATTGTTACGTACTATTGACTATTCTAACACTCAGCATTAACTGTTGCTTTAGTGGTAGATTATTGGTAGTGCTTTGAGTCGCAAATTATGCCGTGGAATCGTGTTCACCGAGAATGGTGAACACAAGTCAAAACGACGTTGTTTTTAGGCAAAAAAAAAAAAAAAAAAATCGCGGATGTGGAGTTAACGGCGCGTTACTGATCAAATTATGAATTTTCTGTTATGAGATTATGAATTTTATGAAAATTCATAATCTCATAACAGAAAATTCATAATCGCATAACAGAAAATTCATAATCTCACAACTGAAAATTCATAATCTCATAACAGAAAATTCATAATCTTATAACAGAAAATTCATAATCTCATGGTTCCAAAGTGAATGTGTAGGCATGGTTCCAAAGTGAATGTGCAGGCATGGATTCATAATTTATGAATGTCCGTGATTTCGGACGGGAATATGTAGGCATGGTTCCAAAGTGAATGTGCATGCATGAATTCATAATTTATGAATGTCCGAAACTCCGAAATTATGAATGTAATGAAAATTCATAATCTCATAACAGAAAATTCATAATCGCATAACAGAAAATTCATAATCTCATAACAGAAAATTCATAATCTCATAACAGAAAATTCATAATCTCATGGTTCCAAAGTGAATGTGTAGGCATGGTTCCAAAGTGAATGTGTAGGCAGTCACGTAATTAATTAAAAAAAAAAAAAAGATAACGGTGCACTAACACTGTTGAAACCGTGTTCACCATGAATGGTGAACACGGTTCCATGGCATAACGTCTGGCTTTGAGTTGGACCCGAAACCCATATACTTGATCTAGTTATTCTATCAGTAATATATAATTCATATTTGATTAATAAGTAGGTTCAATTTGTTATGGAAGGTGGAGTTAATTAATTCACGAAACTCAATAAATAAAAAGAATTTGTTTCGATCTTTGGGAGAAAACGCAATAGAAGATTTCGAAGTTACAGTGTAAATCCCACGTATTTGAAAGTCCAAATACGTGCATGGTAAATAGTTGAATTGATGTGGAGTTGGCAAAAATTTCAAGGTTGCGTTATTGAAGGTCAACATTCTCCTCCACATTTCATATGGGAATTATTCACATGGGTTGATTGAATTTTCTTCTCCACCGGAATTATTCACGGCTTTGAAATAATTATTTTCATAACCTTCTTTTTAGGAATAAAGATTAAATAGACCATAAATGATAGAACTGTATGTGAATGTAATTAGACCATGTAAATATTAAATTCATAATGTGGAATGGGCAGAAGTTTGGTTGGAATAATTTTGGGAGGAAATTTCCCAAAGGAATTGGGTGGAGGTTTCCTAAGGGACTTGGGAGGAGGTTACTTAAGGGAAAAACATGGGGCTAGATTTGCTTTGGGAAAATTTGCAGGAGAAGTTTTTCTTGCATGGCAAGTTCTAGGCATTTAATATTATATTAAATGCTTAAGAATTCTCTAGACCTTCCTGGTGTTATAAATAGGCAACATCCTTCATCAGATTATCCCATCCCATTCTTTCTCATCTCATACGAAATATACACAGAGTATAGCAAAATTCTGTAGAGAAAAAATAGAGAGTTATATTTGTAATTCCTATTGTTTTATCCTTTTGCCAATACAGAAAATAATTCTTCTTCAATTTTCTTTGCTCTGTGTATGATTTATTTTAAATCTTACACTAGAATTTATTCTCAATATTTTCCAGTTCAAGTTGCTATTGTAAATTTGATGTTGTGAACCAGTTTCGATCCTAACAGACCATTCAATTTTAAAAATTACAATTAAGTCTTAAGTCTTAACCATTCAAAATTATGCAATTAAATCTAAAGTAACATGTATAGTATCACATATCATTGACTGACGATGTGGCTATAACTTTAAAAAAATAATTTTTATAATTTAAAAAAAAAATCCCCTCTTCGTCTCGGAGAATGAGAGGGGAGGGTTTTTTTTTTTTTTTTTTTATTTAATTTATTTAAGTCAGTTTACCAAGTAATTGATAACTGATAATAGAAGTTACTGAATTTTTTATTTGGTAAAACTTAGTTTTCAACTATTGCGAGATGCCCTCTTCCATGTGGGAGGTCATGACTCTTTGTGCTTAAATTGAGTTACAAAATTTTCCCTTATCCACCGAGGCTCAAACTCATTCTCTCTCATTTGGGAGAGTCACTTCATACCACTTGATCACAAAGTCTTTGGCACATATAAATATATTAATTGACACTAAAAATAATTCAACTCTTGATTTTGGTTTTACTTTCGTGGTAATAATATTTGATATTAAATCGTAAAAACTTAAAAAGACAGTATTTTTTTTAGTACAATTACTGCACATCATAAGAATTTGCTTTTCAGCATGGGGTCTGGTTGAATACTTGAGTGGAAAGGGACTCATTTATTCATAACTAAAAGTCAAAAATTGATCATTGACTTTGGGTATGGAGCAGTCTTAAATCTCCAGACTAGTTGTCTCACTCAATAGAAATACCTACAATTCAGCGAGAGAATTAGTCACTGTGTCCGACAATAAAAACTATGAGTCACGCCCAAAAAAATAATAATAATAAGAATTTGCTTTTGGATTTACTTTGAATGGAAAGTCATTTTCATCCAATTGTAATTATCATGTATGACACAAATACATGCTTCTATAACAAAAAATACATTTTTTTCCTTTTAAATTTACCTTTCAATATTTATTTCATAACATGATAATAAAATTATTTATAATTACTTACAAATCGACCAAAATGATTTCACCACCTCCAAACAACAAATAAAATCTATATATTTAGCTAATCTATCTGGCGTCAATAATTCATTAGGATGCAACTGATTAAGTTATCAGAATTAGATCTGAAAATAATAATAATAATAATAATAATAATAATAATAATATGATTATTATTATTATTATTATTATTATTATTATTATTATTATTATTATTATTATTATTATTATTATTATTATTATTATTGAGGCCTTTGGCATCACAATCCTAGTTTGCAACTTCTAAAAATTCAAAGCCTAGTCAAAGAAATACAACAAAGAAGATAAATACGGAGTATGATTTTTCAAACCCACAAAAAATTGTTTAATACCTTTGAGCATAATGCAAGCCTGAAAACAAATCAAATAAAAGAATATCAACCAATCACCTTGTGGTCCAATGGTACCAATTAAGTTGCTTCCTTACGTGGAAGGTGGTGGGTTTGAGCTTCGGTGGATGTGTTTAAATTCATAAATTTTAAAACCTTATTTTTATTTAATTGAGAATCATAACATTATTAATTTTAACTTTTAAAAAAATTGGAGATGCTACTCGAACAATCTAATATTTTAAAGATAAATAAGAAAAAAAATAGCGAATAC